AAGTATTTAAAAGCCAGGGAGATGTGGTGCTGGGGGTCATGGGTTAGTGGTGGCCTTGGCAGCGCTGGGTTAACGGCTGGATTCCGTGATCTTCAAGGTCTTTTCCAACCTAAACAATTCCCTGATTCTCCCAGCCCTGTTGGCCCCACGCTGGTAATGACCCCGTGCTCAATAGCAGATTAGACTGCAGGCATTGCAACGGGTGCAGGCCAGGCGAGAGGAGACGTCTCGGGCACCCCCCGCCGCACCCTCGCCTCCCTGCATGAGAAGGGGAAGAGTCTGAGGCCCGGCTGGGCAAAGACGCGTGCAGGAGGCACCCGCACAGCAGCAGTTGGTGGAAGAAAGATTGGAGAAGGAAAAGCAAAAAGCAAAAGCCAAAGCTGCCTGGGTCGCTCGCGCGTCTGCGGGGAAAGGAGGGGACAGGGGCGGCTGTAACGAACCCAGCCCCGCTCTGCCCCAAACCCGCGCCGAGGAGCAGCCGAGCGTTCCACGGGGGCCGCGCCGGGCTCGCGCAACGCTTTTCCTTTCCTCCGACCGGCGCCCTGGAAAGACACGGGCTCCATTTGCCGCTGTACTTGAACCAGCTCGATCGCTCCCACTTCCAACTCGCCGGAAGAGACCAGCGGAACAAACCCGAACAGGCGCTCAGCCACGGGGAAAACCCGCACCAGCCTCGGCATCAGCGACCCCAAAACCTTCCTCCGCCACGCGGACGGAGGCCAAGGAGGGGCTTTATTCCGGGGGGCTGGCACTGAGGCGCGGATTCTTTCTGGGCACGTTCGCTTCCTTTAGGTCAGGCAAAAGCACTGAGAGTTGAAGCCCAATTAACCCACGGCGGCCTCCAGAAGCTTCCAAATTGCTTTTTTTTTTCCCCCAAAATAGTACTTTGAGAGATCTTCCAAGCGCTCTTGTGAGAAGCGATTTGCGCGGTCTGCGTTTTGGGAACGGGAATTACGTCAGGAAGAGCAGCCGACCGCGGCGTGGGACGGCGCGGTGCAAGCGCGACGTAAAACCTCGCGTGCCCCGTGCATCATCCTCTGCAAGCAACTCCACCCTGGCCTTCCCCTCTGCGAAACGCTGACGGCTGGGGCGCGAGTTACGCTCGGATGAGGGAAACCCCCCACTTTTTCAGTTGGGGATTTCCCTTAAGAAAACTTTATTTAGTTCAGGATTATTTACTTCGTCTCCTGCTTTGTCAGCAAACCCTCCCCTCTCCCCCTCCCGGCAAGGCACAGTGAAGCGGCGCGGTTTCTCTCCGTCAATCAAACGTAACCCGCCAATCGCCTCCGGAGATGCTGGCACCTCCCGTGACGCGCGCAGGAGAGCGGCAAGCAGAGCCTTCCCTGGTCTTGTTTTAAACGCGATGGTGCAAATTGTTTTAGATGACCTCTTCCCCTCTTCAGGAAACAGAAATGCAAGGACGCGACTTTGAAACAGCCTTCGCCTTCTGTGGGGGAGGCTAAAAATCCACAGCGCCTTTTTCATGAGTAAAATGTTCATTTTTGGGGGGGGAACTAGAATCTGTTGGTTGGTTATGCATTTGTCAGGAGAGTTTCTTCCAGGTTACGCAATTCCCCGCTGTGACACGGCACACTACGATACCTGGGATGGACATCCAGCATCTGGGATGGACATCCAGCGTACCAGGAATTTTCTTCTACAAATCCTAAAGAAGAGAGAATGCCCAATGACAAAAATACGCAGGCCCCGATTTCACGGGCCGCTGGTTCAAGTGGTCGGCAAGACACTTCACGACATCTGCAACGACGAGGAGCTGGAGACTGGGTGACAAGCGGGAGCTTACAAAGCATTTCAGAAAAGTCTTGACGTTTTCCACAGATTCTTCAAATTTCAAAAAATAATCATCTCTGTTGAGCTCGGAAGAAACAAAAGCAACCACCTAATGCCTTCTCTGCTCACCCGCTGAGTCCTCCCGACGTTCGCAAAGCCGCCAACGCAGTAGGTCAACATTTATTTGATGCAATCGGTCTGTTACAGCCAGGAATCCTGTGAGAGAACAGATCCCAAATTAGAGGCGAGCTTGTTTGGAAAAACGCAGCACAGTTTGGCAGAGTAAACGCAGGAAGATCTCAAAAAGCCCCACGCCGCCTCCCAGAGCACTGCAAGGTACATGGAACATTCCCAAAAGAGTCGGGCAGCGCCGCGCAGGCAAAGCGGTCGCCGTTGCCAGCATTTTAAGGAGTATGCGAATAGGAATAACAAATCTGACCCCTCCGGGAAATGCCAGCTGTCAACGCAAAAAGGAATACGCAGCCCCAAGGGAAAAACAGATCGCCAGGATTAAGCCGAGAGCTCGACCCAACACCTCAGTGGAAGAAAACTCAAACCGCGGCCCCGTCTCCTCGCGCTGGGTTCGGATTTGCGACAGCCGTTTAATTCCGCAGCTTGGAAAAGCTCCGAGGTCGCAAAAAAGGGAGTTTCCTGGGTCTCAGAGTAATTCTAGAGCTAAAGCGGGGATAGACATCACCTCTAGGTCAGATAATACATGCCAACGCTCATCACCGACCCAGGAAGGCAACCCCCTCCGCTCCTACCCAAGGCTGCCAAGCGCGACACGCTTGCTTCCTAAAACAGGGCGCCGCCTTGTTCGCGTCCGACACCGCCAATGTGTTTCTCCCTCGAAACGGGACTAGAGATAGGTTACGCACGCTCTCAAGCCGCCGGCTGGGAGCCCTGGAGCCTTTCGGGTGGTGTTTTTCACCACGGATTGCAGGAGAAAGAACAGGGAAGACAGAGGAGACGGTGGGAAATTTCATCTACAACGGGGAGCGCTACGGTGAACAATACGACCGAGACCGAGTCCTTTCCCGCGGGGGAAAAGCACGCGCCAAATAAATACCCGCTGAGCGGAGCGGTACGATTTTATCGTTACACAGGGAGAAAAAGCAGATTTGAGGAAGACAACGTAAGAACCGACTACGACAACGCTTCTTTTGGATAGCACTAAAGTGTAAATAGACTACACGTAAAAAGCGTACGTACTGCACAAATGTATAGTTTATATAAACATTAAATCGTTATTTAATTCGATATTATCACAGACAGCCATACGTTTCTGTGTATAAATACCTATAAAATCCAAAGCTTCCCGCTTCCTCTGGCCGCAGACATCTTTCGCCTCAACCCGCGCCAAGAAGAATTCGCAAACCCCAAGAGGAATCACCTACAAGGTTCCAGTAAAACCTGTCGCTGGGAAATAGCTTGAGAAGTCTGCTACAAGATCCATGAAGAATGCCGACCACAGCACCGGTACAGGAACATTAAAAGCACAACGTTCCCAAATCTGATTTTTTTTGGAGATGAATCCTGAAGTTTGGCCCGTTAGATTATTTTTCGTCATGTAATCCGAAATCTGATTTTTCTTGGAGGTGAATCCTAAACTTTGGCCCGTTAGATTACTTTTTAGTACTGTAATCCCAAATATCTTTTTTTTTTTTTTTGGAGATGAATCCTGAAGTTTCACCTGCTAGATTATTTTTTGTAATGTAATCCCAAATCTGATTTTTTTTTTTTTGGAGATGAGTCCTAAACTTTGGCCCGTTAGATTATTTTTTAGTACTGTAATCCCAGATCTGATTTTTTTTTTTTCTTTGGAGATTAGTTCATAAAATTCTGCCCGTTAGATTATTTTTCAGTCATGTACCGAAATACTTTTTGCCATTGGTACATCCAGCAGCGTGTAATGTTTATATAAACTCTAGATTTACACAG